TCTCTCCGTGCTTCCTTCCCCGCAGCAGCAGCTTGTTCTCTGTCGTACACTGCAAGGGCTGGGTGGAAATGAAACGTGCCCATCTCTCCCCCAGAGGGAAACCCGGGCTGCCTCCCGCCCCCAGCTTCCTCCCCTCAGAGGCAGGAATCAGCTGAGCCATACCTGGCCCCTTCCCCTCCTTGCTTTCCCACGCAGGCAAACAGCTACCAAGCAGCAGAGACAGGCACCTCTGAGCCTGAACCCTTTTTGGGGAAATCTTCCAGGGATGGAGCAGGCTGGGGCCACAAGGGACAGGTCCTCAGCTCCAAGCCCGGCACATAAGTGGAAGCTGTCTTGGGTTCCCAGGCACCCACAGGTAGTCCCAACAGGTGCCCAAGGCAGTGGAGTGTTGCGGGACATGCAGGACTGGATAGATAGGGAGAGTCTGGTAGCCATGGGGCACCTACTGGTAGGCTGCTCCCACTGGGATGGGATGGGAGAATAGGGAGAAGGAGGAGGACGAGAAGGAGGAGAAGGAGGAGGAGAAGGAGAAGGAGAAGGAGAAGGAGAAGGAGAAGGAGAAGGAGAAGGAGAAGGAGAAGGAGAAGGAGAAGGAGAAGGAGAAGGAGAAGGAGAAGGAGAAGGAGAAGGAGAAGGAGAAGGAGAAGGAGAAGGAGAAGGAGAAGGAGAAGGAGAAGGAGAAGGAGAAGGAGAAGGAGGAGATGGTTTGCCTCCTTCAGGGTGTTTTTTCACAACAGATTTGCAGAGAGCAAAGGCAGGTGCCCAGGGCCAGGGTGCTGTTATTGGGGTGACATTTGCAGAAGGCTTCTGTAATTTTTCCGCCATCGATGTTCCCCGCTCACCACACTGACTAATACTTGCATAGGAAATAACCAGCGGTGAAAGCAGCTCCTCCACTTCTCTCAAACACAGCCTCAGTGCCTCGCAATTTTGGAAAGTGTCAGGGGAAAATTAATAATTGGGGTGAAGGATGTGATTCTAATGATGATTTCATTATTTTCCAGGCTTTCAGAAATGAGTTGCAGGGCTGAGGCTTGCTCACCTCTCACTTTCAAATATGGCCCTGGCAGGCGAGTGGGCTGGAGGAGCCACCCCTAATTTCATAGAATCATAGAATCATACAATCATTAAGATGTCTAAGATCATCAAGTCAAACCATTAACCTAACACTACTGTGATGGTCAAATTGGGATGGCCAAGAAGGGGGTTCTGAACTGGGGCAGACAAGGCTCACCCTAGGTGGGTGGCTCAATCCAGCCTGTCCTGAGTCTTCTTTTCCAGTCTCCTCCTGGCATTGTAGCATCATTTCTTTCTCATGAGCTGCTGGCCCTGCTTGGGCTGCAGAGCAAGGCTGGGAGCTGTGCCCACCCTGTCACCTCTCCATGCCACCTGTCCAGAGGCCACCGCACTGCCTGGATGGGTGGCAAAGGGAGTGCTCTCCACCATGTGCAAGGGTGCAGGTGGGTTTTGAGGCGGACTTCACATCTTCTTTCACAATTTCCTGCATTCCCACTCAAAAAAACCCTAACTAAACTAAACTAAACTGAACTTCAGGAAATACAGAAGCTCACAGCAAGGAGGCTTTTCTACCTTGAGGCTTTATGTCCCCAAATGCTGACACCAGGCATCTAGGCCAGGTGGGGGAAGGCTTGCCACATGTTTTGATTTCTAAAGGGAGAAGATGTGATGGGTATCACTGACAAGATCACGACTTTTCGAGGCAGGGAACAGCAGGAAAAACTGGCTCATCCTCCCCGCCGCATGCAGCAGCAGCACAGGGCTCTGATTAAAATCATAGCACGAATTGCTCAAACTTTCCAATACGCACTTGAAATGGGTGTAAGCCAGTACCTGAGGCGGGGAGGCTGCCACGTCCACGAGAAACCAACAATGGCTAGATGCCCTTTTTTCTGAGAAAAAAAAAAAAAAAAAAACCAAAAAAAAAACCGATGAAAAGAATAAAAGAAAAGATCAATCTCACTGTTAGGAAGCCACTGCGGAAGAAAGCGAGGTGAGCAGCAGTGCCGTGCCCCAGCCCAGCATGTGCCCCAGGTGTCAGCATCGCAGATAAGCCCAGCCCCAGCCACACAGCAGCCACCAGGCTTTAGGAAGACCTTGCAACCTGCCTGCACCCTGCCTGCACTGTGCCAGACCAACACAGCTCCTGCTGGCTCTTTCACCAGCTTCTCCAGCACCAAGGAAAACAGCCTGGCTCAAACTGTTCTGCAGCACCCCATCGTGCTGGTAAATCCCCTCCAGCCCAATGGGGTGGATGGTACACTTTGGGGTTTTACTAAGGGAGGCACTTTCTGTGAGCTGGAATATAGTAAATTGCACGGGACAGTCCTTTGCTATTTGGCCACTAAAAGAGGAAAAGAAGGTCTAAAAAGGAAGGACAAGGAGAAATAAGTGAGAAGAAAGTTTGTTCTTTAAAACTAAGAGAGAGTAACTTCAGCAAGCGCATCATACCACTTCATAGGAGCACAAATGTCTTTTTTTTTCCCCAACAAGAAGGTGGCCCAGTGTGTCAGTGAGAGTCTGGGACACAGCTGGGACCCAGAAGAGACTCCAGTCTCCTGCAGCCATCACTGTCAGGGCACACAGCTATCACCAGAGTCAAAGGATAGAGGGTCAGACCCAATATGGCTTACAAGCATCTGGGGTATTTAAGGAGCACTGGAAATTTGGAAGATGAAAAAGAAAGCTATGATCAAACACGTCAGATAAGCTGACTGGAGTCCAAAGCTAAATGACCTTGAAGTCCAGGGAAAGCAAAGCTTCCCAAATGAAATGGGGAACACAGATTACCACAAAAAGATGCTCAGGAAGAGAAACCCAGAGGTTCCAAAGATCCTTCCCCCAACATTTTAACTGAATTCACATCTGCGGCTCTGACTCAGGCGGGAGGCGAATGGCTGGGGCAAGAAGAGGAAACGGTTAATAGTGCTTACAGATAAACACAGAAGGGTGTTGAGGTCTTTCAGATACTTCTTAGAATTTAGGAAGGTCTCTGCAAATTATTTGCATGAGGAACAGCACCTGACCCTGTGGGGACAGGCAGCAGCCTGTGGGTGTGAGTAAGCAACGGTAAGCAGTGAGTAAGCACAGGGATGGAACAGAGGCATAAAACTGTTCCTTTAGCAAGTGGAAACCTGCGGGGCCTGGGCAGAGCTATGGTAACTCCGATAGGAAGGTGCCACATGGGTATGGCATGGGGCCACCATCACCTTCAGCATGGCAGTGAGGTGCTGCTCCTACCGGTGGGCAGAGTCCGGTGGTACTAAGGACTCTGATGGTCCATCCCTAGCAAGTGGTGCTGCTAAATGTGGAAATCAGGAGCTCCTGCTGCTCGGAATCTCATCAACCCATCTACACTCAGAGGAGTTGGGGGCAGGACCTGGCACCAGTTGGGATGTGCCTGTGCATCCCAAGTAAAACTGCAGCAGCTGTACCCTCTGAGTCCTGGTGCAACCTCACGCCTCCTGTACCCCAGGGGCACCTCCAGTCATCACCAGCCCTGTCACAGGTGATGGTCCCCTCCAGCACGACGATCCTGGCAGCAGTGTGCTCTATACCGGCACTGGCTGTGCCTTCACACAGTTTCCATTCGGAGCTAAGTGAAGCACACTTTCTCAGCCGCGTCACCTACTGCACGCAGGAAGGATCGTGGAGATCGCAGCATCGAGATAAACTGCCGGGTAAGCAGAATGTCAGCTCAGGAGGGGCTGCGTCACATGCAGCCTTCCTTGGGATAGACAGCAGCTGCAGGCAGGGAAAAGAGCACAGGGGTATGACAGGGAGACGATATCAGGGAACAAGAAGTTTAGGCCTTTTATGGAGGATTTAAGAAGTTCCTGGAGGAAAGCAGCAAGGCTGGGACCTTCTCCCTGATGGCTGGGATGCATGGCCCACAGGCAGGAAGAGAGTACAAGATCTGGCAGCAACACACAAGCAAAAATCAGGGGAACAGGCATCGGGGAAGCACCCAGAGAGGCTGGGCCATCTTACCTCACTCTCTCCCTGTCAGACCTCCTGCCTCACCCCAGGCAGCAGCCTCATGAAACACTTTATTTACAGAATCACAGGCTCATTTAGGCTGGAAAGACCTCTGAGATAATTGAGTCCAACTTGTGACTGAACACCACGCTGACAGCTAGACCACAGCACAAAGTGCCATGTCCAGCCTTTCCTTAAACACCTCCAGAGACGGTGACTCCACCAACTTTCTGGGCAGCCCATTCCAAAGTTTAATCACCTTTTCTGTGACGAAAATCCTCCTAATGGCTAACCTAAACCTCCAGTGGCAGCTTAAGACTATGTCCTCTCATCACTGGTTGCCTGAGAGAACCTGACCCCCACCTGGCTACAACCTCCTCTCAGGGAGTTGTAGAGAGTGATAAGGTCACTTCTGAGCCTCCTTTTCTCCAGGCAAAACACCCCCAGCTCCCTCAGCTGCTGCTCATAGAAGTGGTGCTCCAGACCCTTCACCAGCTTCATTTTCCTTCTCTGAACACGCTCCAGCACCTCCAGTGCCTTCCGCAACAACATTTTACCATTAATACAACTATTAAAATAATTTACAATCATCACAGCGGTTATTTACCTTTTATTTACCAATGACGTTATTGGGCAAGTTTTTTAATCGCAAAAATCAGTCAAAATAATTTTGGGGGTTTGGGGTTTGTTGTGTTTTGGGTTTGGGGTTTTTTGGGGGGGGAGGGGGGTGTTGTTTGTTTTGAGGTTTTTGTTTTGGTTTGGTTTTGGTTTTGTTGTTGTTGGGGGTTTGGTTGGAGGGGGTTTTTTTGTTTGTTTTGGGTTTTCGGGGGGTTGGGGTTTTTTGTTTGTTTGTTTTTCGTTGCGGTTTTTTTTTTTTTGTTGTTTTTTGGTTTTGGGGGGTTTTTTAACAAATGCAGTCAGTGTCCCCGTGCCGGCGGTGCCGCAGCCCCCGCTCCCCGATGGCGCTGACGCGGCTCTGACGCGGCGGGGGCGGGCGGTGGGAGCGGCGGAAGCGGCGGGGGTTGTCCCGGTAACCCAACGCCGGGGAGGCTGCGGGGGCCGCGGCCATGGGCGAGCTGGGCCCGGACGATGGGGCCGGCAACACCTACAGCCTTCGGCCCGGCCTCCAGCACCGGTGAGCCGAGGCTGGGGGAGTTGGGCTTTGGTAGGGAGAGGGGATGGTGGGGGCCTTGGATTTGGGAGGGGGGGGGGGTTGGCCCTGGGGATGTGGGAGCTGCGGTGGGAATGTCGGATGTCGGGGAGGGGCTCCCTGGGCAGGAGGGGGCTGTGAGGGTCTGCTGGGAATGGGGGAGCCCCGAGGGTGTGGGAGATGGAGGGCACGGGACTCTCTGACCAACTTCGACCCGCTCTCGGGTGGGGGATGCTGCTCGAGGGGCAACTTCACACCAGCTGGAGGGGCTGGTTTCACACCTCTTCATGGGTGTTTGGCTTTTGGCAGGGCTGCTTAAGTATCTCCGTCGTAGCAGGGTGTTATTTTTTTCCCCGCGGTTTTTGATTTGTCATTTTTTCTTTAATATGTGAAAGCTACATTTTCCCAGGTGGGGTTGTGTGTGTTTCTACACGTTGTGTGAACTTTCGGGGCTTTCTGTTGCTGCTTTTTTCTTCCCTGATAGATTTAAATCGTCCACAGTAAAAGAATGCATCCATGCAATACTGAAGGAGAGGCTGGCCAATGTACAGTACGACCCAGAAGAAATGCCCGAGCTTACAAAGTCCTTATCAGAAACAATAAAAGACAGACTGAAAGGTAAGGAGATCTGCTGGGGAAGTAATTTCTTTCCTTACCATGTCCTCTCCCTTTTGACAAAATCTTTCTTTCCTCCTTTAATCTTGAAACCTATTCCTTGCCTATTGACTGACTTGAGTCTACTGTTATGAAACAATCTGTCCTATATATACGTTCCTTGCCTGCGGAACTGAAGATCTAATTCAAGCAGACAAGATCTGTTTTCATGTAACTTGGCTGGTGTGGGATGTCAGGAGGGGCTGCAGGGGTGAAGAAGCAGCATCAGAGAGAAGAAAGAAGTGATGCTTCATTGCTTCTTGCTTCCATAAACAGAACCATTCCTGCTTTTTTTCTGCTGTGAGATCAGAGTTGGGTCAGAGTGGAATAGCAAGGAGATCAGAACAAGGCTCACTGGGCACAGGGAAGAGGGAGAGAGGAGCAGTCTGACAAGGAGGGATGTGACTACAGCCTTACAGCACTGCAAAAAGGTTGTGGTGGTGCTGCACAGGATGCCCTCCAACCTTTTTGAGTTCAAGAAGAAAACTGCCTCCAGCAGGTGTTTCCTGAGTTCTGTGCTGGGACAAGTACATGGATGCGTGTGCTGGCACAACCAATTTTTTTTTGCTTTCCTCCTGGGGACAGGCTGGTGCTCCATCTGCTGGGCTGGCCTGACACAGTGCAGTGGCATGGCCAGACTGTCATCTTCGGCAGGTGCCATGGATTGATGCTTCTCTCAGACTTGCTCATCTGCCTTAAAGCCAGCAGCAGCTGCAGGCCCAGCACGTGTTGATGCCATGCTCATATGCACAGGGCTTGGCTGCAGTAATGTGTAAACACAGTTGCAGCAGCCTGAAGCAAGGCTGGCCCGGTGTGGCCGCTGTATCAGCTGGTATCTCTGATAAGCACTGACGTGGTGAATATTATAACAGACCCAGCCTGTTGTGTTCAATCCTCCAGTGGAAACAATGCGCCAGAGTCTTCCCGGGACACTGCTTTGTTGAAGACAGGCATTAGGATCCATATTTGATTTTAAACATGCTTGTTCTGATTTGGCTTCTGGAACATTGCCATGGCCTGACTGGATCTGGTCTGTGCCCCAGAGGTGTTTCTTTACTGTTGTAAAACAATTGCATATCTGTGCACAGACATAACACAGACCCACATATGCTTTTATGGGGCCTTTTTTCCCACTCAGAAGCAAAGGAAACACCTATGTGACAGAAGAATCTCTACAATACCTTTGCATCAGAACAGTTTTAAAATAAGACAATTTTTTTCCATTTGCATTTTGTCCACAGCAGCATTATTTATGTTCTTTCCATGTGGTCAGGTCTTGTAATTGTCAAAACAGAATGTTGACATACAGTGTGGCTGCTCAGGGGTGTCTTCTGCCTTAGATGCATCTTTTGATAGATGCCAACTACCTTGTTCAGCCTTTAACTCCAATAAAACCAGGTACTCCGTTCTAGGAAAATGAAGCCACAAGGCAGTCTGCCCACTTGTCTACTTGCACGGGCTTGTAGAGGACATTGGCTTTGTAGCATTCAGAGTCCTATTTTGGGCTCATATTTTAAACAAATTGTGTCTCTCACTATTATTTTTTCTCTCTCTCCAGAGGAGGGATTTGACAGATACAAAATGGTGGTGCAGGTTGTGATTGGAGAACAGAGAGGAGAAGGAGTGAAGTAAGTTTTCTAATTGTCTTTCTATCACGTTTGTTGGATTTGGGTGTGTTTTTTTTCTTTGGAAGCTGCTTCCAGCTTCCCTAGGTATAAAAATCTCTCTGCAGATGATAAAGTGTAAAGCACTTTCTTTTCTCTTTAAGTGGCACTTGAAGGCTTAGGTTGTGGCTGATTGAATTAGCCAGTGATAATGGGCTCTGTGGTGGTTCTTAGCAACCTGAAATGCTGAGAAGCATTAGTGAGGAGTGTTGCAGAAGCATTTTATTTTGTATTCATGATGAACTAGGGCACACACTCCATCCATTCCCAAGGCCCTGCTGGAGCACAAGAGCCATGGTAACTCACTTCTGTCTAAAGCCAGGTTTCCATAAGCACTTCATTTACATTTAATCATCCCAGGTAGGCATTTTTCAGAAGTTTAAATATATATAATCTCCCTGCACTACTGTCATGGGAACCTAGTCTAGATTCCCATGTGGGTGCTGAGCACTTGCAGTCAGCTCCAGATGCCTGCAATCAGACAAAAGAATTCCTCTTGGCTGCAGTAGTGGGCTGTAGCTTTCCATTACTACTGGGTAGGGAGAAGACAAAAGAGAGCAGCCCACAAGGTTTATGTGCTTTATCTGCTGGGCTTATCTTTATTATTGTTCC